TTTTTTCTATATTCTGCTCTTCAGCAGTTATCTCCAATATTCTATCTTCCAACTCCAATACTTTGAATACTTTGAATACTCTAGCTCCAATACTTTGAAGCTTCAATATTTTGCCCACCTGTAGCAAAGACCTGACTCATTGGAAAAGACCCTGATGGAGGGAAAGATTGAGGGCAAGAGAAGTGGGTGACAGAGGATGAGATGGTTGGATGGCATGACTGACTCAATGGACATGAGTTTGAGCATACTCAGGGAGATAGTGAAGGACAGGGAAGCCTGGCATTCTGCAGTTCATGGGGTTGTAAAAAGTCAGACATGACTTACCAATTGAACAACAGCAAATTTTCCAGCTCACTTATCCATTCTTCTGCCTTAATTATTCTACTATTGATTCCTTTTAGAGTATTTTTAATTTCAGTAATTGTGTTGTTTGTCACTGTTTGTCCACTCTTTCATTTCTTCTATGTCCTTGTTAAATGTGTTAAATAATTTTCTCCATTCTACTTTTGAGAGTTTGCATCATCTTTATTCTCATTACTCTGAATTCTTTCTCAGCTAGTTTGCCTCTTTCCCCTTCATTTATTTGGTTTTGTGGGCTTTTACCTTGTTCCTTCATTTGCACACAGTGTTTCTTTTTCATTTTATCTGTCTTATTCTGTTTTAGGTCTCTGGGCTTCCCTGGTGGCTCAGAGGTTAAAGCGTCTGACCGCAATGCAGGAGACCTGGGTTCGATCCTTGGGTTGGGAAGATTCCCTGGAGAAGGAAATGGCAACCCACTCTAGTATTCTTGGCTGGAGAATCCCATGGACAGAGGAGCCTGGTGGGCTACAGTCCACGGGGTCGCAAAGAGTCAGACACGACTGAGCGACTTCACTTTCACCTTTCACTTTCAAGCTATAGGGTCTTACTTAGTTCCTCTTGGTTTTGGTTTCTGCCTTCAGTGAGTGAGGCTGTTCTAATGGTTTGTGTAGGCTTCATTTTGGGCTTCACGAACACTTGTGCCTGTGTTCTGATGGGAAGAGGGTTTTCTTTCCCTCTGATGGGCAGCACTATGTGAGGTGGTGTGTTTTGGGGTGTCTGTGGGAAGCCTATCTGCTGACTACTGGGTTTGTATTCTTGTCTTCCTTGTTGTTTGGGTGAGGCATCCTATGCGGAGTGCCACCAGGTCTTGGATACAGGTGGAAGTCTTCGAGGGAGTTCTCACTAATTAATACTCCCTGAAGTCTGGAGTTCTCTGGCAGTCCAGTGTTTCAGACTCAGCGCTCCCATGCCACAGGCTCAGGCCTAATCTCTGGTCAGGAGACCAACCAGAGGCTACAGCGATGGAGCCATCCTTGCGTATGACTCAGCAGTAGCACTCTGCACCCATTGGCTGCCCAGCTTTCCTCCAAAGGTATTCCCTGCCACTATCTCCCTCCCATTCCCTCAGGCCATCTCCCCACAGTCAACAGCAGTCCTCACGCTGGGATTGCTCTCCAGTCCCTGTGCTCCAGCGCCCAACGGCTGCATGTTCCAGAGGACTTGGAGCCTTGCCCAGGGTACGTAGGGCTGCGCACAGATTGCCTATGTGACTCTCACCCCATTCAGACTGCCACAGATCAGCTCCTCTATTCTCCAACAGCCTTCCCCTTGGTTCCAATCTATTGCCTCAAAGTGGGGATCTCACCCCTGCTTTCAGCTCCCCCACACCCTGGGTGCAGGTCCAGTTCGCTCACTCTTCTCTTCTTTTTCCCTTCCTTGCTTCATATTACTGAGATTTGCATGGATCTAGATATTCCTTTCTGGTGGTCAAAGACTCGTGCCTGTTCTCAGATGGCGCTGTGCAAATCTGCATCTGAAGGTGTATTTCTGATGCATTCATGAAAAGAGGTGTATTCTCTCTCTACCTACTCCTCTGCCATCTTTTCTCTTCCTAACCTGTTCTTTATAAACTTTCTGTAGCTTTGTTTCTATGTATACACACCAGTGAATGTATGTGTTTCTATTATAAAATAGTTTTTTATACATATATATTGTTTTTAAGCATTGTATTTTTAAAAATCAACTCTGTAATAAAAAGTTATATATTTCTATATTCACTTCTTTACACTAATTTCTAATGATTTCAAAGATATCCTATGTAAGTATACCAAAATCTGTGGACATTTAGGTAATTTTTTATAAGTAATAAGTCTCTACAGGGGTTTAATTAAAGCTATCTTTGTAGTAAAGATACCTATTTAACTCAGTGCTTCCCAAATGTTCTTTCACTGTTCTGGCAAAATATCATTCTGAAAAGCTAGTTTTAATGATTCAGTGGTTATAAGAAGTTGGCTGTTGGTATCAAATGGTAAAAAAGAATATCTATGTACTCAATTTCTTAAAAATTTTAAAATCATGAATGCCTGTTGAACCTTATCACCTGATATGCTGCATCTTCTGAATTTTTATTATTTTTTATTTTGAATTTTTCAGCTTTATTGAAATATGACTGACAATAAAAATTGTATATATGTAAGGTATACAATGTGATGTCTTGATATATTATACATGTAACCTTTTGAATTTTTAATATGATGATTTAGGTGAAAAGTTCCTAATATTAATCAATTGTTATATATATATATTAATGTTAATTATAGAATTTTAATTAGTTGTATTTTCTAGTATTTTATTTAGGATTTTAGCATTTCTAGGTTGATTGTTTTCAATTTTGGTGCTGTCTTAATGAGATTTTGTTATCAAGATAATTATGGCTTGGTCAAATGAATGGAGACTATTAGCATCGTTTGCATTATCTACTAATTTTCCTTACAGGATATTCCTTGATAAAGCACCCCTGTTACATCATCTAGTCTTACTATTTTTATTTAGGGGATAGGTTTAGAGTATTTTTGTTACTGGCTTCCTTAGCCGTGTTTTTCTGCTGGTTTGTATCAATATAGCAACTTATATTTGCTAGAAAGTTATCCATTTTGGAAAGACCTTAAAGTGATTTCTAAATATTTTCCATAATTTTCATTTTGTATTCTCCTAAACATCTGTGTTCAGATCTCACTAATATTGTGTTCTTGTGTCTTTGTCTTTGGCTCCTCTCTAGAATTCTCTGCTCTTTGTTTCTTTTCTGGCTTTAAAATTTTGTTTTCCTCACTTTCTTTTATCCTTTTTAAAAAGTTAAATTTACGCATGTTTATGAAATTGAATAATCTAAAAGTGTAATAGCAAGTTTAAAACTGAAAACAAGTCCTTGACCAGCCCTTCTCAACCCATTTCTCATTCCCTGTAGAAAACCCCTCCACTTTTAAATCTTTTAGGTCTTTCTTCTGTTATTTAACTCCATATCTCAAAATACAATTTGTTCACTGCTATTTCCTGATTTTTCAATTTGAGATACTATCTAGGAAGTCAAACTATGAAAGATGAGACTGAGTAAACACAGAATAAGCATTACATAAAGTCAAGGTAATATACACATGCATGTGCGTGATCAGTAGCTCAGCTGTGTCCCCATGGACTGCAGTGCACCATGGACCGTAGCTCACCTGGCTCAGAGACCCCATGGACTGTAGCCCACCAGGCTGCTTTGTCCATGGGGTTCTCCAGGCAAGAATACTAGGGTGGGTTGCCATGCCCTCTTCCAGGAGCTCTTCCCAAGCCAGGGATTGAACCCACATCTCCTGCACTGGCAGGCAGATTCTTTATCACTAAGTCAGCTGGAGATACCATCTATGAATTCAAACTATGAAAGATGAGGTTGAATAGACATAGAACAGTCATTACATAAAGGCAAGGTAACATACACATAGAATAATTTTAAATTTCTACCACAGAATGTTGTTTTATCCCTAATGTCTTTCTTTTAGTGTGATGAGAATATAGAAAATCTCTATTAATGTATAAATACATCATCTAATAAACATTAGGGTGATCCAGAAGTTATTTTATTTCTAAATCCCTTCACTAAGATTACTTTAGCCAGCAGGCAGTGAGCTATATGGAATCCTAAAGAAGTCGGTGGCTCAGACGGTAAAGCGTCTGTCTGCCCGGAGTGCGGGATCCGCTGGGTCGATCCCTGGGTCGGGAAGATCCCCTGGAGAAGGAAACAGCAACCCACTCCAGTATCCTTGCCTGGAGAATCCCATTGACGGAGGAGCCTGATAGGCTATAGTCCACGGTGTCGCAGAGTCAGACACAACTAAGCGACTTGACTCATTCATTCAAAGAAGTCAGGGCATAGGATATGTAAATATTAATGAGAATCAAAAGAAAAGTTTAGCGTATACGAACCTATGAAAAGTTTGGTAAGGACAAAGGAGGGTGAGAAATTAGACCCAGGAAAGGAGGCATCTTACTCACTTTAAGGCACAGCAAAGACTACTATGCCTGAGGCATAAATCATGCTGCTTCCCTATTTGTCAAACTAAAATGTTACACAGACTGGTCCCCTTCTCCCCCAACCCATATTTTAAGACTTACTTTGGATGCTACAGCCCTATAGGAGTCATGGTGTATTATAGGCATCTACCAGGGGCATCAATCTTTTCTATTCATTCCACAAAGATAATAGATTTAAAGGTTTTGAAGACTTAATTCCAATGAATCAATATTCAAATAGCTGAATTCCTCTTCCTCACTTCCTGCTTGCCTCTAGTTTTAGTTGGCAAGACCACAAAGTCAGCAAAATTCTCCCTCTTTATTTATTCCAAAGGCAACATTTAAATTTATTCTTTGCTATAATGAGGCTTACTGGAGGGATTGAGAAAGAATGCTGGCTACAGACTCCCAATAGCAGGATTGCTTAATCAGTTATCCTGGTCAATTTTAATTGAAAAACTTTGCCAACTTACTGTGGTAAAATAAGGGAGCTTCAGATAATGCTATGTCTACAGAATTGTGATCTACTGTGAAAAAAAACATAGTTTAACAAACTGCATGGAAATTAAAACTGGATGTGTATTAAATTTTTTTTTTTTACTTTAAAAATCAACTTTGACAGATCAGAATCAAGGAACTTTTTCAAAATGGACACTTCATCCAAAGAAAATATCCGGTTATTCAGCAAAAATTCCATGCAACCTGTTGGGAGGCTTTCTTTTAAAACGGAATATCCCTCCTCAGAGGAAAAACAACCCTGCTGTGGTCAACTAAAGGTAACAAGCAATTAAGTGATTAACAACCCTAAGTGCTTAACTGAAGAGTGTCGGAGAATTTGATGGAGTCCATGATCTTGGCTCTCGATCCAGATATTTTCTACACATTGTAACTACAAGTGAGAAATTTTTTCCATTTTAAAAAGTAATCTTAACTTATGGTTGCCAGGGGGAAGGATGGGAGGAGGGATAATCAGAGAGTTTGAAATGAACATGTACGCATTGCTGTACTTAAAATGGATAATCATCAAGGACCTACCCTATAGCACATGGAACTCTGCTCAATGTTATATGGCAACCTGGTTGGGAAGGAAGTTTGGAAGAGAATATGTACATGGCTGAATCCCTTTGCTCGCTACCTGAAACTATCACAACATTGTTAATCAGCTCTACCCCAATACAAAATACAAAGTTTAAAAGGAAAAAAATAAAAATGAAAAGTGATCTTAGATGCAATTTATGAAAATCACATTTTGCCAGACAGTGAAAGCAATCTTTGTTTGATCATGCAGGTTAAATTTCTAAATATTACTTTTCTGGCTCACTTGAATGTCCCTCCTAAACAAAGAAGCGAGGTAAAGGAAACTATTATTTATTAAATATCTACCATGGGTGAGTTACTATGCTATGCACAGTTGCAACATTTAATCTACAAAACATCCATTTTATTCCTGTTCTATAAACAAACATTTTGACTTTCCTACCCACATGGTAAGGGACAGAATTCCCTTTTAAATAGAACTCAATGTGACTCCAAGTTCCTGAACCTTCTTCACATCAAACATATTCAATGCTTTTTCCATATAGTCTACCTATGGATACTCCGTCACAGACCCAGGTCTACCAAAACACACAAGCCAGATATCAAAAAAATATTGTGTTCGTTGAATAAGAATCTGAGTGTTGATTTAACTTTAATATGACCTTAATCACTAGGAATAGTAGTTCTACTTCTCAGTCTATTACATTCCCTGCTGGAACATGTACCATCCCTGTGAAATATAGTCATGAGCAATAGACTTGGGATAAGATGTTAAGTGTCTGGTTTATGGTTTTTATTTTCTTACCTTTCAATGGCTCCTTCCTCCTTCTGCTTCCCCAAGCAATGGATCTTCTTTTCAAAGCCAAGACTCCTTTAAAAATCCTTTGGGGAGGGGAGGAGAAAGAGAAAAAAGAAATTCAATATACATTATAAATGAAAATCTATTACTTCTAAGAAAATTTGAATTTTTAGAACTTCACATGAGCTTGAGGTGGGAAGAAGACTGTTACTGTGCTTGAATGAACTCTTCGATGTTAACAACTTTGTTCCATGGTTCTTGGTTTGTGTTTGTCTCTTTATCAAATTTCCCATTTTAGGTCAGGCTGGATTTAGAGTAAGTGTGACCTGTCATATTTTCCAGGTGTTCTTGGGTGCCTTGTCTTTCGTTTACTTTGCCAAAGCACTGGCAGAAGGCTATCTGAAGAGCACCATCACTCAGATAGAGAGAAGGTTTGATATCCCTTCTTCACTGGTGGGCATTATTGATGGTAGTTTTGAAATTGGTATGTATTACAGATACTTGACTTTACTTTTAAGTACAAAGTTTCTAGGCATGACTGAAGGACATCCTCACTGCATATTATTATCTGCTCCATGTGTAAAATCAGACTCTATGTGTAAAATCTTATTTGGACATAATTTGCCACGGCCTTGTGCTACAGTGCGTACATATGTGCTCAGTCATGTCCAACACTTTTGTGACTCCAGCAACTGTAGCCCACCAGGCTCCTCAGTCCATTGAATTTTCCAGGTAAGAATACTGGAGTGGGTTGCTCTTTCATTCTTCAGGGAATCTTCCCAATCCAGGGATCCCATTGCAGGTGGATTCTTTACCCCATAGCCACCTGGGAAGCCCTGTGCTAGAGTAGAGGCAATTTGTTCTCTCCAAGTAAACAATTACCGTCCTGTCCCAGACTTTCTCTATCATATGACTTACACAAATTTCCAATCAGAGTGAGGTTTTTCAAGGAGAGAGGGTGAAATGCTGCTGGTATGTTGAGTTAGAAGTATGTGGGAAACAGCTTTACAAAAGTTATATTCTGGAAGCCCTGTGATTCAAAATTTGGAAGAATTCAAAGGTCTTTGAATTATTACAATAAAAATGTATTGTAATAATTTAAGAAAAAGTTAAGCTGTAAAAGGGGTGTTTCTGCCCAGTGGCCTAGAAACAAGATAAAGGAATTCTATTAATAACAACACTAGAGCAAAGCAGGAAACAAAAATTCTACTTTCTGGGGTCTTTGGTTAGCCACCAACTCTATACCTCCTCTTAGGACTTGAAAAGACCAAGAGATTTTAGTCACTGTTTTGGAAGTATTTTAAAGAGTGTAATTCCACTTAGTCATCTTCCTAAACTGATAAACTAAGAGTCTTCAATCTTTGGTTGAAATAAATTAGAAGCCACTGTGGTCTTTACTTCCTGTTGAAATTCAAGTAACGTGCTATAATAATGGCTCCAGGTTCAGCTTCACTTGAACCTTTAGAAGAGTGAAGAAATATTTTTCAACTCTTCAACAATTATTTTTTTCATTCTCTTGGGTCACAGGCTAGCACACCCTGTACTTGGCCCAGCTTTTTAAAAAAAATTTTTTTAATTTATTTATTTTAATTGAAGAATAATTGCTTTGCAGTCTTGTGCTGTTTCTACCATACATCAGTGTGAATCAACCACAGGTATATAGATGTCCTCTCCCTCTGGAACCTCCCTCCCACCTCTCTCCCCATCTGTCCCCTCTAGGTTGTGACAGAGTCCTGGTTTGAGTTCCCTGAATCATAAAGCAAATTCCTATTGGCTATCTATTTTACATATGGTAATATATGTTTTCATGTTACTTTCTCCATACATCCCTCCCTCTCCTTCCTCCCCCCACCCCACCACCCCCACCCTATTCCTAAGTCTCTAATTGAAGACATAGAGCCTGGATGACAAAGACATCAATGGTTTAGCTGAGAAGCCTTATCTGTCGGAAGCAATGCCCTGGAGCAACACCCCACCCTGTGTGAGGAAGAGGGCAGGCAGGAGGACCTGGTGGTGGTCTTTGCTCCAGGGGAAGAGGGGGGAGCTTACCATTCACAGGGAGAATTTGTTTCAGGTTGGCTCATTTGTTTCCCAGGACCAGTAGGAGACACGCCCCGCTCATTGCCCCTTTGATGAGCTATTCTGTGGAGATGTTCTGATCTGAAGTTAGAACAATCAGTAGCTAGATTGGGCAAGTAAATAGGAAGGTCAGTCATGTGAGTAGGGTGTAACTGAAGCAGGCCATGGTTGGACAGGGGATGTACAGAGAGCAAGAGAACAGTTATCTTGGGTGGCCTGATCATACAAGTTCATACTGTGTATTTCAGTTCTTACCCTAAATAACTTGAGAAGGAAATGGCCACCCAAAATCCCATGGACAGAGAAGTTTGGTGGGCTACAGTCCATGGGGTTGCAAAGAGTTGGATGTGGCTTAGGGACCGAGCATGCACCCTGTATAACACAAGAATGGAGAGTATATAGGTAATCTTTGACTTTCAGGCTTTTGCTTCCCAAATCCATCTTTCATCACCTTATCAGAAAAAATGTCTTGGATCAGTGCTAGTCAAACATTAATATTCACACGAATGACTGGACAATTTTGTTAAAATGCATAGACTGATTCTGTAGGAAGGGAAGTAAGGTCCCGCATATCTAACAAGCTTCAATACAATGTTAATGCTATTCATCAATAGGCTGCAATCTGTGTAACAAGTTTATAAAACATCTGATCATATCACTCCCTTGTGTAAACTCCTTAGATCAGTGGTTCCCAACCTTTCTGGCACCAGGGACCAGTTTCATGGATGACTTAATTTTTCCATGAATAGCATGGTGGGGAGGGGTGGTTTTGAGATGATTACATTGTGATAAGTGTATTACATTTATTGTTCACTTTATACCTATTATTATTATATTGTGATATATAATGAAATTATTACATACCTCACCATAATGCAGAATCAGTGGGAGCCCTGAGCTTGTTTTCCTGAGCTCAGGCAGTAATGTGAGCGATGGGGAGCTTCCTGTAAATATAGATGAAGCTTCACTCACTTATCCAATGTTCCACCTCCTGCTATGTCCCCCGTTCCTAATAGGCCACAGACTAGTACTGGTCCATGGCCCTGGGGTTTATTGGGATCCCTGCCTTAGATAGGTCTGGTTAGTAGATGTATTCTTTGATGCCTGCCCTACCTACAACTCCAAACAGAATGAAAAACCATGGAGAGAACTTCCCTGGTGATTCAGTGGTTAAGATGCAGGGGACATGGGTTCGATCCTTGCTCAAGGAAGATTTCACATGCAATGGGGCAACTGAGCCTGCAAGCCACAACTGCTAAAGCCTGCATGCCCTAGAGTTCATGCCCCACAATAAGAGAAGCTACCACAATAAGAAGCCTGTGCCCTGCAACTAGAGACTAGCTCTTGCTTGCTGCAGCTAGAGAAAGCCAGCACACAGTAATGAAGATCCAGCACAGCCAAAAAGAAATAATTTTTGCTTACAAAAAAGGCCATGGAGAGTCAAGGTAAAGGTAACACTGCATCAAAAGAAGAAACAAGTACAAAGAGGAAACTGATGCAGATCTAAAGAATAAATTAGATTTACAGAAAGAAGAAGAAATACACAGATAGAAAATTATACATGAAATATTTCTTTGATTATTGCTTACTCTAGGTTATAGTATAAAAACATTTTAGTGCTGAAGAAACTTAGAATCTGGTCCAAACTTACTCTTAGATTCCCAAACCCCAGTGCAAAACTGGAGAGGATCTATAATTAATAGAGGGTACTAATGTTACACGCTGGGCTGGAGGAAGCACAAGCTGGAATCAAGATTGCCAGGAGAAATATCAATAACCTCAGATATGCAAATGACACCACCCTAATGGCAGAAAGTGAGGAAGAAGTAAAGAGCCTCATGATGAAAGTGAAAGAGGAGAGTGAAAAATTTGGCTTAAAGCTCAACATTCAGAAAACGAAGATCATGGCATCTGGTCCCATCACTTCATGGCAAATAGATGGGGAAACAGTGGCTGACTTTATTTTTCTGGGCTTCAAAACCACTGCAGCTGGTGATTGCAGCCATGAAATTAAAAGATGTTTATTCCTTGGAAGGAAAGTTATGACCAGCCTAGACAGCATATTAAAAAGCAGAGACATTACTTTGCCAACAAAGGTCTGTCTAGTCAAGGCTATGGTTTTTCCAGTGGTCATGTATGGATGTGAGAGTTGGACTACAAAGAAGGCTGAACTCAGAAGAATTGATGCTTTTGAACTGTGGTGTTGGAGAAGACTCTTGAGAGTCCCTTGGACTGCAAGGAGATCCAACCAGTCCATCCTAGAGGAGATCAGTCCTGGGTGTTCATTGGAGGGACTGATGTTGAAGCTGAAACTCCAATACTTTGCCCACCTGATGTGAAGAACTGACTCATTGGAAAAGTCCCTGATGCTGAGAAAGACTAAGGTCAGGAGAAGAGGACGACAGAGGATGAGATGGCTGGATGGCATCACTGAATCGATGGACATGGGTTTGGGGAAACTCCAGGAGTTGGTGATGGACAGGGAGGCCTGGCGTGCTGCAGTTCATGGGGTTGCAAAGAGTCGGACACGACTGAGTGACTGAACTGAACTGAATGTTACACAAGAAGTGAAAAAGACCCTGAGTCTAAATTCACATTAACCCTTCCAGAGCATTCTAAGAATAGAAATTGTTTACTGGATTAGACACAATAAAAGTCCTCTTACTTCCATTGCAAAACTTTATCCCAAACATCACAGGATTGCTCTAGTTAATTGCAAGCCCTAGTTTTCCAGAAAAGTGGGTTTCCTATTAAACCATAATTAAACCATAATTTTAATTTACTCCTTTGTCTCTCTCCACATTCCTTCCTTCCAGTGTTCTGGACCCATTCCCACCCTCTGTCTCTAGCTTTAAATTCTTCAATTATTTTTTGGAGAACAATTTCGTTTATCCTCTAATATCAGCTGTCATTATCATCTAATATCCACATACTGGACATTCAATTTCTTCCCAAGTAAACTGTTTTTTCCCAAAGGACTCTTTCTCAAACAATGGCCAGGAAAGTAAATTTTTTTCTATATCAAGACCTACTAATATTTCTAGATATTAATTCTTTGTTACAAATATTTTCCCAGGTGTTTTCTTCTAAATATGTAAAACCTTTTGCTTTTTAAGGCAGTTTTGGGTTCACAACAAGAGTAGGCAGATAGAGATTTCTCATATACCCTCTACCTGCATACATTCATAGCCTCTCCCATTATCCACATCCCCCGCCAGAGTGGGACATTCATTATAGTTGATGACATACAATGACACCTCATTATCATTCAGAGTCCAGAGTTTACATTAAGGTTCACTGTTGGTGTTATGCAGTTTATGGGATTGAAAAAATGTATAATGACATGTATCCACTATTATAGTATCATACAGAGCACTTTCAATGCCCTAAAAATCCATCCATCCC